CGGAAGCGTCGGTGTCAGGTCACGGCACACTCGACACTGGCAGGGAAAATAGAGGCGGTGACTAGAGGGGATAAGGAAAGGAGTGGCATGGTTGTGAATACAGGGAGGAGAGGGTTTGGGACGGGGGAAGACGATGAACGAAACGCGTAGCGACACGACAAAGAAAGTTTTGGAGGGAAGGATTCGATGGCCGGGTGTTTCTGGAGGGGCTTCATATTTTCTGCCGGTTCCACTCGATGCAACGGGCCTCGGAGTGACCATGCGATGAGTGTCAGCCCCTGTAGTTCTTCTCTTGGTTTCCTCACGCCCGTATCCTCGAGATTGCCGCCAGTCCCAGCCTCTGGATTCTCATTTCGTCAAGGGTGACCCTCTCACCGTCACTTCGTGTTTCAATAGACTACAACTACCTAATTACATGCTCCCATCTTCCCTTCCTCCCCCTTCCCTTCCCTTTCCCTCAAACCTGCCATCGCGCGGGCCCGACCGCCCTCTCTTCGCCGGCCCTCCCTTCCGCCCTCCCTCCCGCCCTCCATGACTCCCTCCATGACTCCTACGCCGCCCCATCTAGAACTCCATCCCCTCCACCACATCGCCCATCCGCCCAAACACGTCCAGGACCAAGGTCAAGTCGTCGGCGGCCACCCCAAAGAGGCCCTTGAACCAGTCGTACAAGAAGAATTGAATCCCAATCAAAAGGGCGAAGAAAACGACCCGGATGTCCACGCCCGCGAACAAATTCGTCCAACCTCCTGGCTCGGCGAGCATGACCTTGACCATCTCCCGCCAATCGGTTTCCTCCTCCTGGGCGTTCACGCGCGTCAAGACGGCGTCGGCGGGGCAGCCGGTGAAGGCCCCCGCGACTCCCGCGGTGATCCCGGCCAGGAAGGAAACGGCGAGCGACAGGGTTTGGGTCTCTCGCGCCGCGGGGAAGAGGGAGAAGAGGGAGCCCCGGACGATTTCAAAGACGAGGAATTTGGTCATGATGAAAGGCACCTCCCGGAAGAGCAGGGGCTCCAGCCCATCGTAGATCCCGCGCACGCCCAAGGTGGCCAGCATCTCGTTCCCGACCGTCCAAAAACTCCCGAAATCCGCCGAGGAGGAGGAGGAGGAGGCAGGGGAGGAGGCAGGCGTGGCCGCCGACATCATCCGTATCCGCACTGCCTCCAGGGGACAGGTGAGGACGCAGGTGATGATGGTGGAGAGCGCCGAGGCACCTAAAATGATGGGTATCTCAAACACTTCCCCCGGGCCCGCCCCCACCAAGTCGGTCAACGCCCTCCGGAAAAACTCGTTGAAGCCTGGCAACAAGGGGAGAGCGGGAGGGAGGGAGGGAGAGAAGGAGAGGAGGGGGAGGAGAAAAATGACAGAGTGAGCCCCGCGGGCCCAAGGCACGATCGTAAAACAACTCAAGGTCTCAAGGGTTGGAGTGCGCTTTCACTGGATTCATCATAGCCCCTCAGGAACTTACCAAAACCCAGCATGCCCAGCAAGAAACCGGCCAGACTCGTGCAGTCCCACGCCCTGTAAAACGCGTTACCCCCTTCTCCTCGGATCTTCTCAATCCCTTCCCTCCATCCGCCCGGGTACAGGCCCGGCCGTGCCTGTAAACGGGTTTTCAAAATCTCCAACGGCTGCAACGAGGTCCGAACGATAGAGATGCAACAGCCTCCCGACAGGGCCAGGCGCACGTAGTTCTCCAAGGTCAGTTCTCGCTCCATTTCGATAGGGCTGCGGCCCACGCGGCCAAAGATCGGGTCGTAGAGGGTGTTTTCCTCAGGCCGGAACGTCATCAGGTCCTCCTCCGGCTCCCCCCCCACCACGAACACCCCCCGGACGGGGTCGAATTCCAGGACCGTATCGCTAGGAAGGAGCTGCTGCAGCTGCGCAGACAGGGAGGTCGGGTTGTAGTCGGAGGGAGCCTCGATCCGAGTCACGGCCGGGCGGACCACCGCTTTTGCCAGGGCCTGCTTCCCGTCCGCTTCCGCCGGCGGGGCGATGGTCACCTCGGCGCCCAAAGGCACCGTATACCCAGCCCCTCCATCCAAGAGCTCCACCGCCGCCACCTCTTGGTCCAAAATCGCCACCGCCGTGGCGGCCCCGCCCTTGTTCACGTCCAAGGGGGAAGAGGCAGAGGTAGAAAAGGAGGAGAAGGAGGAGAAAGGCCCGTTCGTGTCGGCGGCCGCGGCCATGGACTCCAAGCGACGCTGTTCCTCCGCCTCGCCGGGGCCCCGAGGGAGGATGGTGACGGTCACGGGGGGGCCGTCCTTTCTGTAGCCGTTGCCTCGGTCCACAAGCACCAACTCCTTCACCCGACCCGTCCCTCTTTCCAACACGGCTTCCGCCCGGGCCCGGCGGGCATCCGGCCCTCGAGGGGGCTCACTGATGACCACCTCGGGGGGGATTCCCTGCGTGTAAATGCTACCCGGAGAAGTGAGGACGAGGCGACGCAGACTCCCCGTCTCCCGTAGCACGGCCCTGGCTCGGGCGGGCTGCGGCGTGGGCATCATCGGGCTGCTGATGGTGACCCGAGGAGGGGTGCGAGCTGTGTAGCCGTCCCCGCCCGTGACCAGGCGGAAGGCCGCCACTCGGGCGTTGTCGGTGTCGACCAGCATGCGCGCGATGCCCTGCACGGGCTGATCCTTCTCCAGAAAGGAGAAGAGGATGGCGAGTTGCCGACGGGCCTCGGAGGTTTGCCCGTAACGGTCTTTCAAAAGTTCAAACAGGCGTTGCACGCCTTCCGTGCCTTGGTAGTCGTACAAGCCGATCTCGGCACTGTCGGCAATGGCGGCAAATTGTCCCCGGCGAGTCTCGGCCACAAGGGCCTCTTTGTAGGTGAACGGGATGTCCCGAGCCAGCTTCGCCCACAAGAGTTTGTCGTCCTCGTCGAAATTCACCAGGAAACGGGTCAGGTAGGTGACGAATCGCACCGGGTATGTCTTCTGCCCCCGGTTCTGATCGCGGGCGCGACCCTCCACCTCGCTGAGACGCCGCCACCCCAAGTACCCCTTTCGGTTCGCCTTCTCCCCCAGGAACGAAGACGTTCCCACGCCTTCCAGTGTTGAGGCGGTGGGGGAGGTGGAGGCAGTTGAGCCGCTTGGGGCTTGCGACGGAAGGGCGGGGCCGCGGCCCAAGTCGAGCTTGCTCGTTTTTACTGCCAAGCCGGTCAAGAGAGTCACGCCCACCACGCCCAACATGGCGTCGCGCGTGAGGCCTTTATGCCCCTGGCGCCCGCCTGGCCTGCTTTCCCTTCCCTCCCGTTGACTATCCCTCCGCCCTTTTTCCGGCGCCCCGGCCTCCGCCCCCTCCGCCTCTCCCCTTTCCTCCAAAAAAGTGGCTTCCGAATCCCCTCCTCTTCTCCGCTGTCGTCGGCGTTTCTCATCTTCATCGTCCTCCAGAGAAGGAGAGCCTCCGCCGGGGGTGGCCCGTAGAACTGTGAATACCGAGGAGGATCTGGCTGGGAAGGGTGAAAGGGAGAGGAAGGCGCCAGGGAGGGAGGCCCCTGTAGGAGGAGCCCGCGTATTAAAGGAGGGTCCGAGCAGCTTGGTCATGGCCCTTGAGGAAGTCGAAGAGAAGGTGCGGGAAGGAAGCGCCAGGGGCAGAGGGAGGCTCGGGGATGGACTTCTTGTCTTGGAACGCCCACTGCCGGCGCGGAAGGCGGACGTGTATGTGACCATGCTAAAGAGGGCCAGAGGCAGCACACGCAAAGCTGCGTGGGGAAGATGCTCTAGGTTAGAAAAAGCTTTACAACAAAGGTGCATGAGGCACAAGTCTGGACGAATCACTGGGATTTGCATCGTACCTCGGCGTCGTCTTCTTTTTGCTGACATACCACTGCTGCGGAGGCGGTTGTTCCCGGCACTCACATCCATCACACGATGACTTTGTCTCAAAAATGGCAACGACAAGGATGATGATGCATGCACCTCCTCCATGGCCGCTGTCTTGCGTACGAATGGGGGGGAAATCAAATTGAATGTTGCTTGGTCAAGTCAGGCACAAAGGAGTAGTACGTACTCTCACAGTGGCATCTGGGGGCTCGGACGTCTGTCGCGGCCAAGTTATTCGCATCTTTGCCTTCCTGCCCCACGGACACCCGACATTCAAATCAATATATGCCAGTTTCTACTCGCAGTCATGACCACAAGCAAAAGACGCCATGGGAAAAGAAATGGTGCTTGCTGCGTGAATAAAGGGGGAAGGAGCGAAGGAGGGAGGGAGGGAGGGAGGGAGAGAGGGCACGCTTGCCGTATCTTGCTTTCCCCTCTTTTTGATATGCTGAAGCTGTTTGGTCCGGGAAAAAATGTGACAAACACATAATGTTCATTTTACAGCATGAAATGTCATTTTAAATAGCACGGTACAAACATAGCTCAGTGATCTTTTTTTCCCCCTTTTTAAAAACGCCTTATCACAAGAAAAAGGGCTGCCGTGCCCAACGTTCCTCATCCTGGTTTCGGCTCTCCATGGTTGCGTTGCATAACTTTAATTTCAAGAAATTCGTCCGACAACAACACCACATAGGTCACATGTTCATGTTTGCACTTTTCTGTGGCGCTGAATGAGTTCGCCTGCTCCTTCACATGGATTTTGGTCTTCACCTAGTAGTCCTCCTGACGGCGACGCCTCGGTTCCCCCTTCTCTCCCTGCAGCAAGTGCCACCCCCTCGAAGAAGACCCTCTTGCGGGAGGCCCTCATTGCCTTTTATGAAGTGCACAACCCGTCTCAGCTTGTCGACGTTTTACTTGATGAGATTGTCGCTAAATATTTGGGACAGGAGTCTCAGCTCCTTGCCAGGCTCCATCGCCGTTACGGAGAGATGCCCCGCGTGCCGTACCTCCCTCGCAACGGGGGAAAACTCTGCATGGGCTGTGATGACACTCTTCCATACAAATCAATGGACGACTCAGCTCTAAATCATGGGTCTTCCATCGGCATTCACTCGGAAGCAGAAAAAGCGTCGGATGAAGCACGTGCCAACCTCCTCTCCCCTCACTTTGACGCCACCTTCACGCTCACGCAGCTGCCCCGAATGCGCTCCTCGGTCAAAGCCGTCATCCCTGTACCCGACGCCCCGCTTTTTGACAACTTGTCCCGCTCCCGTCACCTCTTACCCCCGTCGCACACCGACTACATGCCTCCTTGGGGTCCCAAGGAGGAGGCCGCACGAGCCGCACGGAGACAAGCGCTCGTCGCGAAGAAGACGGCGATCGCAGCCGCCCGCGGTCCGCCTCTTCTTCAGGTGTTGGCGGAGAGCCTCAAAACCGGTCCGACGGGGTTGCTGTACCGGTGCTATCAGGAGAAGAAGGCGGTGGTGGTGACCGTGCGACGCCGAAGTGGGTTGAGGGGCACGGTGACGGGCCGGCTGCGGGGATTCGACCGGCACTTCAACCTGGTTTTGGAGGAGGCAGAGGAGGCGCTCTTTGTGCGAAGAGGGGAGGGAAAAGACAGAGGGGCGGGTGAGGGGGAGGGGGCCGAAGGAGAGCAGAAGGAGAGGAGGAGGAGTCAGCGGAAGAGGGGGAGGCGGGCGGGGAGGAAGCACAAGCTGCCTGGGAAGAGAAAAGAGGCACAACGTGAGCAAGAGGACGATAGCCTTGTCGGGACAGAGGAAGGACAGGACCAGCCGGCAGTGAACGGAGGGAGGACGGAGGAATGGGAGGAGGATCCGGAGGGCGGGAGAAAGAGGAAACGGGCGGAGGCCAGAGGGGGAGTCGAGGAAAGACAAGCGGGAGGGGAAGAAGCAAGCCTAGCAAAACATCAAAAGACGGACGCACGGCAGGACCAGGGAGGGAAGGATGGCGGGGGGAGGGGGTCTTGCGTCGCACGTTCCCCTTGGTGGTGGTGCGGGGGGACAACGTGGTCATGGTCTTCGAGGCGGCCCCCGCCCGGTCCACACACGCCCGCTGATGACATGCCGGGCTCTCCCATATCCGACTTCTCTCGCTGCTTCCCGAGCCACCTCCATGCTGGTGCCGGCCTCGGCCCTGCACCTCAAGCTGAAAACGGTGATCCTAGATTCTCCGCCGGAGCGCGGTCTCTCGCGCCCTGAGAGGCGGGAGAGGCAAGGATTGGGGGTCGGGTCGTGTCGACCACGCGGGGGGAGGGTTGAGTCAGCTTAGCATGCGAAAGTACTGTGTGTATAGCCAGCACCTCGAAACTTCTAAGTTTCGTGAAAGTATTTGTTTGCGTGATTATATCAATTTTTTCATGGATAAAGGTGTGCCCGCGGACCGGACGCAGGGTTCATGTTAGGCCGGGCTGTGTCAGAGGCAACCGGCTTCTGTTCCCCCGACTACGACCGTGGTATCCCACGGAATGGCTGGCTGTGTTATTTTACCCCCTACTGGCTGTCCTTTCATCCAAGCAGGGCATTTCCTTGCGCGCGTCCTTGCTTTTCCGCCCTCCCTCGCGCCGGTCGTCCCCCGCCCGCCTTGGCTCCGCCCGTCGCCCTAGACTACATGCACATCCGTGACCCCCTGCATACCTTTCAAAGCGTAAACCACGCCCATTTTCACTTTCTCTGGGCCCTGGTATACGAGCTTTACCACCCCCTCCTCGCTCACGCCCCCAATCGAGGCGGAGGCCCCCAAGCCCCGGATGGCCGGCAAAATTTCGCTCAATTTTTCCTCCAATTTCCGTTCCAAGGCGGCTGTCTCGGTCAAGGGGGCGCCCGTCTCGTCCACAGAAAGGGGCGCGTCCGAGACCGCCTCCACACTTCCCAGCTGGGTGAATTTCTCCCGCAAGACCCGCTCCACCCCCATCTTCATGGTGGTCGTGGAGGACGGGCAGGAGCCACAGGCCCCTTGCAGGCGGAGGAAAATGTCCCGGGCCGCCAGGTCGATACGCACCACCTCGATGTTGCCCCCGTCTGCGATCAAGTAAGGCCGGACTTCCTCAAGGACGCGGTCCACATTTTCCGGCGTCAGCTCCAGCGTGTCCTCCGCGGGGAGGGAGGATGACGGGGGCGACGCCGGCGGAGGGGAGGAGGAGGATCCCGCTCCTCCCTCCCGGAAGGGACTGGCGATCTCCCCACCTCCCTCCTTGGCAGCCGCGTCCCGCGTGCCCTCGGGGATCGTGGACCGGGTCTGCCCCTCGATCATGCCACTCCAGTCACTCTCCTCCACAGCCGCCTTCAGTTGCGCCCGCCGCGCCGAACGCGCTGCTTCTGCCTCCTCCCCATACTCCTCCTCCTCGTCCAGGTCCTCCAGTTCGTCCCGCAAGGTCGGGTCCGCCATAGCTGTCCTCAGCTTGGTCTTCGTGTCCGCGTGCGCCCCGCCCAGCCCGGCCCCCGACTCCACCACCTCTCGTATCGACTTTGCCCAGCCCCCGGAGCCGCCCTCCCCCTCGCTTCGGTTCCCCTCTGGATTTTGCCCCGTTGCCGCCACCTCCTCCAGCCAGGACGCTTGCACGGCCGCCATTTCCTCCCGCTTGGGGTATCGAAAGCTCTCCAACGCCACGGAGGCCACCACCTCCGGACCGTGCGCCTGCAAATGCCCTTCCAAGGCCATCACCACGTTGCGGGTTACTCCTACGTACCGCAAGGTCCCCGAAGCGTCGTACACTCCGTACACTGCCGCCAAGCGGGTATCCTGCAAGTCTTTCAGGAAAGATGCGGCAGGGAAAGGGCCTTGCGCTCGGGTGAAGGAAGTCGACATGCTTCCCGCAGGCGGTGTCCTCGTACCGTGGGCGTCGTCATCGCCGTACAGAAACTCGTGCAGCCCCTTGTGACCTTCTGGAACATTGTCGTCTGCGGCCACTCCGGACGCGACGTTGCCCGGGCTCTCGGCAGCGCCTACTTGCAAGGGTGCCGGGCGTGTGACTGTTTCTGCGGCCGAAGAAGATGGAGGACTATGATACAGGACTAGGGTTGATGGGTTTTGAAGTGCTGCTGGTACCAAAAAAGCTCGAGTCAAGAGTTGTTGCTCTAATACAAGGGTGGACCCAAGCAGGAGGGATAGGAAGGTCGAGGTGGGCGTCATCATCCTTCGCAGCGGCCCTCTCCTCATCAAAGCGAAGTCGCGGAGCTGCTGTAGGGTCAAAAGTCATGAAAAGGAGGGGGCAATGTTACATACATAGTACAAATTAGTTCTAAGAAGGCGAGTGCAAATGCATCTCTGAAAGGCTTTGATTTGCGACGGTTGGGCCTTCATTCGGTATCTACACGTTTTGTGGCTCGGCCAACGGCGTGGGGGGAAAAAACTTGGATAAAGGTCCTGCCCGCCTCCAAAATGCAAGATTTGCTGTGCCAAAATCGAAGGAAAGACTGAGGCCCCAAATGCCTATCAAGCGAAATCCAAAGCAAGAACACGCCGCGCAGCGCCGAGAAGTCAACGTCAAGCCCGATGGACCCAAGAGCTACCGTAACACCCACGTAATACGAAAATTCGGGGACAGGGGTTCGAAAAGCGATGAAGTCAAGGCCGATGTGGGCCCCGCGCAGTCGGCGGCAGACGGCGTTTCTGAAGTTGAAGCGCGCCCAACAGAGAATTAATACCGCGTGGCCAAGACCACGAGTCACAGGAGGGAAATACAGGAAGGTAAAAAAAGGTGTGTGAAGACTGACTTTGCTGTGGTTGTGGTCGGATGGTCGAGGAGAAAAAAAAGAGGACGGTGCAAAGCTTTTCCTAGCAAGCAAGTTTCTCCCTGCCTCTTAATGCCCATTTGTTCTAGGCAGGACAGACTGGTTTCCTGGGGGTTCCGTATCGTCAATTTCCCCCCTTGATAGTGAATCCTGTTCCTGCAGAGTTTCTAGACCCTATCTGTGCACGGAAGGAGGCTTTTTATCGCCTGTCGCGCACGCGTGGGGTCCAAAAGCTGGAAACAGGGGGCCGGGGGGGGGGGGGGGAGGTATCTTTGAACGCTCTTCCTTGGAGAACGCCGCCTTGCCCTGAAGGACATTTTAGGAAAGCATCTGTGGCATGTTTTGTGACGGAACCACGCGACAAACTATGTCGTAGTGTAGTCAGCCTGCAATTGGTTGAGTTCTTGATGTGCTTGTCTGGTGGGATTTGTTGCAGGAGCATTTTTTCGGGCTTCCGAGGACTGAACCCATGCTTTGTTGGCCATCAACATTGCAGTCGACGCTCAGGCCTGGGGGCAAAGCCCTGTTTTATGCCCTACATGGGCGGTCGTACCGACTTGTCAAATCGATGCTTTGTCGCTTATGCCTCTACAGATGACGTAGGCATTCTGAGGGCAAGGTGGAAGCGTGCGTCTAATTGAATGGACGCTGTATGCGGGTTGAAAGGGAACAGTCTCGATTCTTTGTTGAGGCGGTTAGTAACTTTCGTCCTCCGAGCTAGTGTTACTTGGCGTCGCATTAATATATATATGCAACACTCTTATCTTACTACAAAACATTAATTTGGTAGTGTCAGCAATGGTTGGTGTGTTTTAATCTCTTAGGGTTTCCAGGTTTTGTGTTGGCGGCACCGGCATTGAACTCTGATCACATATGGATGAGAAATAAAGCAAAGCTGTTTGTACGTCTCAAACCCATATTGAGGCATGTGGCGCATTTTTGAATGTATAAAACATGTCAAACATCATACTGGCATGCGTCGTGTTGACAGAGACAGCATTTAAGCTCCACGTTGACATAGGTGGCAAGTAAAAGGATTCACGCCCTGGAATGTGTTCTCACGAAGTCCCCTTTCCGTCCCTGATCAAACACGTACCCCTCCAGGCAACTTGTTGAGAGTTCAGCCCTGGTAGCAGCAGCAGCAGCATGGGTGGGGATGTACCAGTAGGAATAGAATCCAGTCATCATTCAAGCGTGACGTCCCTGGAGCGAGAGTCAGACCGCGACTCTGAACAGCAGCTCTCTCCGATGGGTAGGACGGGTCAGGAGCGCAATGACTGCGATTCACCGGAGTACCACCTTCATAAGGCGCAAAGGGACAGCATGAGCAACAGTGAGAACAAGGGTAGTCCACCTTTTTCCTTGCTGTACAAGGGAGAAGGGGGAGAGAAGGGTGGCGGAGGAAGCCGTTCCCCAAACGAGACGTCTCCAGAGACCAGCACCTCCGCCACCTCCTCCCTCTTCGGCTCCAACTCGGCGTCAGGATCGGGCTCCGATTCGGACGGAGAAGGGAGCAGTAACAGTAACGCGGGCTTTAAGGCTGGCGAGGCTCCTGTGGGGAGCTCGGGCTCAGGAAGCCACCCTCACGGCCACGCCTCCGGCCCCCGCCCCTCGTTCTCCACACCGTCGCCGTCCCCCGCCGACTTCCTCCTGGGCCACGCGACGCCGCCGGGCAGCCGGGGCAAGGGAGGGGGTGGGAGCGGGAGTCCCTTGTTGGACGGTCCTTTCGGCGCGGACCTTTTCGGTGGTTTCCATGCTACCTCCGAGAGGGAGGGACACCGACCGCAGCCGACGGAGGGGAAGGAAGTGATAGCCCCGCAGCGACGCTCCAATTCTCTGTCCCCGCCCTTGCCTGCCCTCTCCGTGCAAGAGGCCCAGAGTGTGTTTGGTTCCACGGGCGGTCTCCGTCCGG